TCAGAATCTTGAATTTGAGAAGAAGAATCTTTTTCAGTTTCATTTTGTAATAAGTCGCTAGAAAGTAAAGACATTTTAACGTATTAATTTATTGATAATTACAATTTCATACTTCAAAAATGCAAATCTTCAAAAAAAAGTTAGCTAAAAATTATAAATTTTGTTAGTTTTTGCATGAGGAAGTATTGAAATATTTTAGCTAATAACATTTGCATAAATTTTGATCAAAGTAATGATTTACGTTGGAAAACGTGAACGATTATTTTCATTATCTCTTCTTTAATTTTCTAGTACAGTTTTTGTATTATATTTGTTAAAAGTATCGGAAAGATAATATCAAAAACAATATTAGTTATAAGTTATTTAACAGATAGATTTAACAGATAAACAAGCGAGCAGACAAGTAACACATTGCTGAAATTATTTGAAGAATAAATATCTAATGACAGTAGTAGGTATTGCGATAACTTTTTCAATGAAGAATCAGCAGTGAGCAGAGCAGAGTGTTGCAAGCTTTTATCATATCCTCATCTGCTACCTTTATGAAGCAGGAAACGAGGAACAAGTACCGATTCCGTTGCGCAACTTATTGATGCCATATGTGACCTTTGCATTATTATAACAATTAAATCGATGAAATTATCGAGCAAATATCAATTATTTGCTTGAAAATCTGCTAATCTCCAAGTATATTATCTTCATTTTTTGATAAAAAAAGTATCAAAGCGTACGATAACGTTATGCGAGTTAATCTCCTTACAGTACTTACACAATCATTTATTGTTGCCTTTGATATTTTTGTATTTTTTCAAAGAATTACAGAATTACATTTGATAAAAATTGCTTCAGAAGTTTACTTTCTGTGCGTTAAATAATTAAAGCGAAATTTGGTTCGTAACGACAAAGCAGTTTGCGAATAATTTGCATAATGTGCAAAGATAAATGATAAATAATCATGGCAATCCAATACTTTCTATCAAAAAATAATTTATCAAATTCAATAAATATTTTCAAATAATCGCAGAAAGACACGAAACGAGAAGAATGCTAGCATCAGTTAAGGTACTGAGATGAAAATGAGGTCGGCTGACTATGTGAGCAAATAAAATAACAAAATGTTTAACTTTGCATTTTTGATTCTTAAATGTGTTTTTGCAATACTTTATCTGTCCTATACTTACTCTTGTCTAATTTTGCTTTATTTCCAATTACACTGATCAGTTTTATGATAGCTTATTTGCCAAAGTAATGCTGATTATTAGATACTTTGGTTGTGCAACAGTTGAGATGATGCCAAGTTAATCAACAAATCAAGACTGAACGATGAATTTTTGAAAATTCGAAATGGTTTGACTAATTTTATTCATAAACTGCAATTTTGAGATTAATTAAAACAAAAATAGCACAAGTTAATAAAGAAGTGTTTTATGGTGCAAAATTAGAATCACTTTTGAATTCTTAAATATGATAGTATGAGATACAAGTGTCATTCATATACATATAAATGAACTATCTTGAACTTTCTGACCAATAATTGTTTTGTTTTGCTTTTTTGTATACTTCGTGATCCCACGGGAAATCTCATCTTAATGCGATGGATACTTCGGAAGATTTGCACTAATGTCTCACGTGTCGGAATTTTAGATATTTATGTTTACTTACCATAAATAAAATCCAAAAATAAACTAAAATAGAATATTATATCTAAAGGTCAACGAGCTTATATGATTACTTCAAATGAAGAGGAGTAATTCTTTTTGAGTAATCCGCATTCTTCTCGAGACTTTCCAGCTAGAAGTTGGCTTTTGTCCGAGATTTAGCAACAGGTGACTGCCCGCATATCTGAACACTCAGAGATAAGTAAATTCCCTCCAAAAGCCACAACATGTGTTGCTAACCGGAGCTGTCTGTTATCTAGAACCTACTCACTTGCTCGAGTTTATATATTTGTGATCTAGTCTAAAGCATTACTTAAAATTATTATCATTACTCAAAACATTGTATTCAATTATGAATCCTTTCATTCCTATTTTATAATTTTATTTAACCTTGACTACATTTTATTATTTGCAATTTTTCCTCTTCTACAGAGGCAATTAAATTGAATAATAACAATTTTATAACTTCACGCTTCTCCAAAGTATTTAACACTTTTTACACGGAAATGTATGTTCTGTGAAAAATTTGTCCTTGTTTATTTCAAAAAAAGAAAACAACAACAAAGATTCTCGCAGAAATGTACTGTTGCGGAATCATATCGTAGAAATAGTTTATGGGAAAATATGCGGAAAAAGCTTGTAAAAACTTGGATGAGAATGAATAATTTTGGAAAAAAATATGCAAATGCAAGACAGATGTGTTGTATTGCATTCGTGTTTAACAATCACAAATACTTATTAGAATAATTATTTGATATAATTTACTACAAGTTTGAGTATTGATTCAAAACTTGAGAAATTTGGTTCAAAGTCTTCCATACAATTTTTATAGTTCATGAACGAGTCACGTGAGTACGTTTACGTGAGAGATAAAGTCGATAGTGAAGTTAGTCTAGCATCTGTTCGAATACCAATCAGCTGTTACTTATTGCAACAACTGGTTGGTCATCTCGATGCATTTATTTCATTCATTGATCATCTCGAGAACCAAAATACTACATTATCCTATCTTTAATTCAGTGATAATTTGATTGCGAATAAATAATTAAATTTAATGCATTTATTTTTATGCATTGAGGTTGTTTCTCATTCATGCATATTCATTTAGTAAAAATTATGCCATGCACATTGACATTGACTGGAAAACAACTCGAACTCATTTAAATTTTCATCAAAACAAAAACTTTTTTCACTCGCATCTATATATTCATTAAACGGCATTATTGATGTAATCTGATGGAATTGTTAACAGGTTTGAAATTTTAACATTTTGGCGGTTTGTCAATTTACAGTTGGCATGAGATTAGCACGCAGCTTAATACCGTCGAAATAAATATATCCAGTAACTTAACTTATTCACACATTTGTTCTCTCTGTCATAAAGCATTTTATGATAATTGCCTGTTACTTAAGCTATTATCTTTGATTCTGATTGCAATATTTGTGATTATAAGTATTATTATTAATATTAAAAATAATAATATTATTATTGCTTTACTATTGTTATTACTATTATTTTTTTAACTGTCTGAATCTTTCAGGCAGAAAATGTTTGATCTTCAAAACAAACAAATTTATTGATTTAAAGTTAGTCATATTTATTGAATGAAAATTTTGAACGATCACAGCAACAGTCTTAGATATGTCGATAATAATTACGATAAATATTTTACTTTGCACTGATGCTGCGAGTATCGAAATGCCAACGTTGACATTCTCAGA